TGAAGAGGGGCCTAGGAATTCGCATTTCTAACCATTTCCAGGTGAGGCTGATGCTGGCTGGGTTCCGGGACGGTGCTCCGACAACCCCGCTTCCGCATTTCTGTGAACTTGGCCCAATATTACCTCTGTAGAGTATTGCCTATTCTTATATTTTGAGGCAAAAAATAGAGGAAATGGCCACACAGATGCATGATCAGTCCACCAAATAAATATAAAGACTATATATTTATTTGGCAGAGAGCAAGAGAGCACAAGCAGGGGGAGCTGCAGGCAGAGGGAGAAGCAGGGAGCCTGATGCAAGGCTCGATTCCAGGACCCCAGGATCATGACCCAAGCGGAATGCAGACACTTACCTGACTGAGCCCCCGAGCGCCCCTCTACCATATTTCTAGTGAGAGCCCATCCTATGTCCGCCTGGCCCTGCTCTAGGGCTGGGCATAAAATGGTAAATCAGGGTCCCTGCCTCAGAATTCACAGCAAGGTAGATCTGGCATGTGATCCCCCCCTTCTCCCGGGAGTCCAGAAGGTGGCTCAGAATAAGGTCCAGAGAGACCCCGAGTCACGTTCCACCAGCTTCTTCTCTGGTCTTTCCGATTCGGTAACCACCAGCAGGCCAGCTGCAAACCCCATCGCCCTGATTCCTCGCTCCGTCTCCCACGTGCAGTCCCATGAGGCTGGGGGCTCTGCCCACCATCATCTCTCCCTGAATGTGGATTTCCTGCCTCCATCCTTGCCTTCATCGTCCACCCTCTGTGTGGCAGCCAGAGCAATTTTTTTTTTAAGACTTTATTTATTTGACACACACACACACACACACACACACACACACACACAGAGCAGCAAGGGGGAGTGGCAGGCAGAGGGAGAGGGAGAAACAGGCTCCCCGCTGAGTAGGGAGCCCAATGGATACGGGGCTCCATCCCAGGACCCTGGGATCATGACCTGAGCCAAAGGCAGATGCTTAACCGAGTGAGCTACTCAGGCACCCCCAGAGCAATCTTTTTAAGACAAATCCCATCACTTCTCTGCTAACCGCCCACCCGCGGTGTCTTCCTATTGCACTTAAAAAAAAAAAAAATCCGGGGCGCCTGGGTGGCTCAGTGGGTTGAAGCCTCTGCCTTCAGCTCGGGTCATGATCCCTCTCTGCTCAGCGGGGAGCCTGCTTCCTCCTCTCTCTCTGCCTGCCTCTCTGCCTACTTGTGATCTCTGCCTGTCAAATTAAAAAAAAAAAAAAAAAAATCCAAAATCCTTCTGCAGTTTCAAGGCCCTAGGGGATCCTCACCTCTTCCCACTCTCCGCTTACTCACTGGGCTCCAACCACTGGCCTCCTTGCTTGTTCCCCTCACGGGACCTCGGCCAGACCTGTTCTGTCCCTGTGGAACACTCTTCCCCCAGAACTGCCCCCGGCTGGCTCTCCTTGCTCCCTGAAATAGCTCCACTGAGTTTTCTACTCAGTGTTGCCTCCCACCCCGAGCTGCTCCCTGTTCGTAACTGGTTCCATGTCACTCGCAGCACTTACCTTTCTTGGAAACTATCTCTTAATGGTTTGCTTGCTTCCTGTCTGTCCCCTCACCCGAATGTGAACCCCCTAGAGGCAGAGGTCGTCCTCCTTGGGCACCTTTTACCTGCACAACGTAGTGAGTACATATGTACTCTAGTGAATACGTGCTCAATAAATTCTTGTGGAATGAATGGGATAATATAGGATATATAACGTCAGGGTATGGGCCCCGACATGGCATGCAAAAGGCTTTCCAGAAGAACCAAGTTTAGGCTGATACAAGAGGGCTTGTAGGAGTTGGCCAGAGAGACCAGTTCAGGCAGATAGAAGCAAAAAAAAAGGGCGGGGGGCACCTTGGTGGCTCAGTGGATTAAGCCTCTGCCTTTAGCTGAGGTTGAGCTCTGCATCGGGCTCTCTGCTCAGCAGGGAGCCTGTTCCCCCCTCCCTCTCTGCCTACTTGTGATCTCTGTCTGTCAAATAATAAAATCTTAAAAAAAAACAAAAAGGATGTGGGACGGTCCTAAAGCATGGAATGTTCAGGAAACTGTACCTTGTCCAGATTGGCTTGAGCAGGAGATTAGAGGGGAAGGGAGGGGTAGGGGAGGGAAGAGGAGTTGGAGAAGGCCCATGTGGGGCCTCCGTGCTCCCAGTGGGCAGTCCCTGTAGGGTGGAAACCACAGGCATTTAGAAAGGGTGGCTGCAGGTAGAACGGTTTCCAGGGAGAAAGCTTGCGGGGCAGGTCTTTGGGAGACCCCGTAGGCCCCGTGAGTGGTGCTGGTTCCCTGAGCCAGGCAGGAAGGAAAGAGCTGACCACGTGCAGGAGATACTGAGAAGGCGGGCAAGGTGATGGAATGGGCTGAGAGAGGGGCGTGTCTGTCATCAGGGACACCCGGCTCTCCAGCTTGAGGGACAGGGAGGCTGAGGTGCCGTTCTCTAGACTGAGGAGGCCACGGGTGGGGGGGAGCACGTTTGGGGGGGAAAGTTGGGATTTTGTTTTGAACAGGTGGAATCTTGGAGCGCCTGGCTGGCTCAGCTGGTAGAGCATGTGACTCTAGATCTCAGGGTTGTGAGGTTGAGCCCTGCACTGGGTGTAGAGTTTACTTAAAAAACAAAAACAAAGTGGAGACACATGTGGGTTTTCTAGAAAGACAGAGTGGCCCATGCGGTCAGCTGCTGAAACGAGCCCTCTTGGATGAGGAGGGCAATGTCCATTGAGGGGAGTGACCAGCAGGACCCTGGTCTTGGCAGAGCAGTTCGGCCAGAGCAGCCACGATGGGAGATGAGGAAGGGAGACCTGGAGCAAAGCACAGATCCCCGTGCCAGAGGTTCAGAGGGAGAGAGAGAGAAGGCTGTGGCTGGGGGCCAGCAGGCAGCTTGGCATTTTCCTCTTTTAAGCTGGGAGAGATTTAAGTCCTTTGGAATGTCACAAGAAGCACCCAGAAGAGAGGGAGGCTGACGATCCAAGAAGGGCAAGGGGATGGCATTTGGAGCTTCGGGACCTTTCCATCATGAGGAGGGTGAGGAGGGGGTGTGTCTTCCATTGTACCAGGCAGTGAGAGCTGAGGCAGGCTTGGGGGCAGGGGATGGAGATTTGGAGGCTGGGAATGAGAGCTCTCAGGTGAGGGCTTCTCTTTTCTTGCTGGAGTGCAGGCTTCAGGAGCTGTGAGGTCCCGCAGAGGAGGCGGGGCAGGAGCACATGGAAACTGGCCCGTTGGGCCGGGCGAGAGTCCAGCTGAGAGTGGAAATCCTGGGTCTATAGTAGCCACACTGTGCCAAAAAGCAAGATGGTTACAGGGTTTTCCCAGGCAGGGATGATGGGGGAACCCACAGGCAAGGGAGTCAGTGACAGGATGGGTCACTGGATGGACTGCGGAAGGAGGAAGGGGACGGTGGGAGGCATCAGTGCACTCAGAGGAGAAGGAGGAGAAAGAAAACTTGAGGCCAAAGAAGAATTTGGGAGCCCCTGTGACCAATAGGGTGTTCTGAGGCTCTGGGATGACTGCAGGACAGGTCAGGTGGGGCAAACACAACTTGGCTTTAGAAATGGAATCCCCATTCTGGGGCTGGGTATGCCTTCCGACCAGAGGCCACCATGCAAGGGAGGGGAATCTTCCATGAGGCCTCAGACCTTTTGTAGCAGGGCCACTGGCCGCCAAAGCTTTGATTGGGACCCGCTGTAAGTTTGGGAGACACGCCAAAGACCAGGACTCCCAGGTTCGATGCCCCTACAAGGCTGCCCGGTAACCAGGCAAGTTCATCCCTTGCTGGTTCCCCACCCTCTTCCCTGACCCTGGGAAGAGCCTGAACGGAGACCCAAAGATGATATAGAAAAGTAGCCCCCCCCACCCCAACCCCTCCACACAGCCCATGGGTTGGGGGTGAATGGAAGGGGAGCCTGGCTTCTTCTCCAGTCCTGTCTTCTAGCCCCAGCAACTCTTTCCCGGCGTCAGGCTCCATGCAGAGAGAAGCTTCGAGTGCATTCATTCTTTCCAGGCATCACTGCAAACCCATCCACAGATGAGGACCAGAGGCTCAGGGAAAGTGTCCAGTCTGCGTTCACAGCAGGTACTGAGCTGGAGTCTGCCACTGGGGCCTTCAGGCCTCTCCCTTTCTGCCCTCCCCGAGGGGAAGCTGGAGCCCCCTCCCCATCTCAGCAGGGGCCTCGGGACCCTGACTCTGCCGCAGGGGAGGCTATACCTCCTGCTTTGAGCAGGGCGGGTCACGGTGCAGCCTCTGGGATGCCCCCTTGGACCTACTACACTGAGACTGAGTGTGGGCTTTGATCTCTTAAAAGGCCGGAGCAGCGCCGGCGCTGACCGCGGAGGAGAGGAGGACGACACGCGGAGGACGCCGGGCTCGGGACGAATCTGGATGGCGCGCCAAGATCCGGGAGGACCCCACCTGCCTCCCCCGCCGTGGGGTGTCACCGCGCAGGTCTGCGAAGTTCCGCGTGAGTCCGCCAGAGGGCGCCTGGGGGCGGAGGCGGGGCGGGAGCCGGGAGCCCGGCTAGGGCCGCGGCAGGTCGGTCCCGCCCCGCGGGGCTGCGGCTCAGGTCCGGGGGACGGGTGGGTGGCCGGGGAATCCGGACTCAGGGGCGTCGGACGCTCACTACAGACGGATTCCGGGGGCTGAACGCACCGGGCTTCGGAGTGGAGCGTTCTCGGGCGCCAGGGCGGCTCGGACGCCGTCCCCCCGGACCCTCCCCTGGGTCCCCCTTCACCCCCCCACCCCCGGCGCCCAGCCGGGATGGGGCTGCCCCTGGGTCGCGCGTGGGGCGGGTCTCCGAGCCCTGGCCCTCCGCCGCCCCTGGCCCAGGAGAGGACACTTGAGAATCAGCGCGTAGCGGGTGGGAGGGGGATCCCCGTCTTGGGGGGTACGCTCCCTCCCCCTCCTCGGGTTGCTTCGGCCCCTCCCTGGCCCCAGGCCCCGCCCCACCCCGGCCGCCCCGCCCACTCCCCTCCGCCCGGCCCGAGCCCCGGGGGCAGCCGGAGCGCCCGCCATGCCCGTCGCTCCCGCCGCCCCGCTGCTCCAGCTGCTGCTACTGCTAGGGCCGTGGTCCCAGGCTGCGGGCGTCGTGGAGCCGCCGCTGCCCGCCGTGGTCCTTACCATCCTGGCCCGCAATGCCGAGCACTCACTGCCCCACTACCTGGGCGCGCTGGAGCGGCTGGACTACCCCCGGGCCAGGCTGGCCCTCTGGTGAGAGATACCGGGCACTGGCACCCTCTGGGCATGTACCCCCCCTTCCCGCCCCACAGATAGCCTCCACCCCACACCCATGACCCCGTCTGCGTGGTCCAGACACCACCCAGACAGGCCCCTCCCCTGGCAGACAGGCCCCGCCCGGTCCTGAGCCCCTGGACCAGAACCCTTATCCCTTTGGCCCTGCAGACTGACCTCTGAGGCCTTAGGTTGACCCCGGAACACTCACTCCAGCCCCTACTCCTCTGGGGACCTCCTCTGGCTTTAAGTTGTGTCCCCTTGCCCCAGCCTCAGAGCCCAAACTCAAGCTCCCTTGGGCCCTGTGGTTGGCTTGACCTGGAGCAGGGCAGGCAGGAAGGGCTGGTGTGCCCTGGGTCCCCACGTGGCAGAGATCAGCAGAACTGGGGGTTCCTGGGGAGCAGGTGAGGGTGCTGTCTGGCTCCGTGCTCCTCTGCAGTGGGCACTCAGACCTGCTCCTCCTTCCCGGGGCTGGTTCCAGCCTCTCTGTGGAGGGTCTGGGTCCTTCCAGCTAGTCCCCCCACCCCCCAGAGCCCCTTCCCTAGAGTCTCTTCCCCAGGTGTCCCCACAGGGCTCCCTGGACTCAGAGGCCCCAGTCTGTGAAAGCCAAAGCAGGGAGGAGTCCCAAGCTGAGGTCGGGGATAGACTTGGGAGGACTGACCAGCTACCCCCCCCCACCCCAGCACATCCAAGTTGCACTGCGGGTGGAGGCCGGGCCTGGGGAGGCTGCCCACAATTACCACAGTTTGGGAGTTAGTTCCCACCCCCTACAGGACTTGACACGTAGTTAGTCTTCATTTCTGGGGAATTGGCTTAAAGGGGCAGTATCCCCTAAAACTTGGGATCTTGGCTAAGCTCTCTGTGCCCCCCGTCTGTCTTGGGAGCCCCTTCTGCAGAGGAGAGGTTATGCTCTGCGGCCGCGGAGTGCAGGCCCACCAGCACTTCTCAGGGATGTTCTCAGGAAGGTTTGGTCCTTACTACAGTTTTCGGGCGGAGGGAAGCAGCAGGTCTTCTGTCCGGTCCTAACTCAGAGAAGGGGAGGGACGATCTCCTGGCAAGGAAGGTGCAGTCCTCCCAGCCCAGCTGCTTTGTCTTTCAAATGCATTCATGTTCTGGTGTCTCAGCCCATGAGCCAGGCAGGACAGCTGGTGTCCCTTCCAGAGGGAGAGAGAGAAGCCTCTAGATGGACGGGACTTGCCTGAGGTCACACAGTAGGTCACAGACCTGTGCCCTGGACCTGGGGACTTGCCGTACTCTGTAGCACACGTCCTTCCCCCGCAGCACCCAAGCCTTGGCAGCATTGGTGCTCCAGGGGTCAAGGCTGCCTCGGGGTTTGGCCCTTCTATGGCGGTGCCCTCTCACCCTTCTTCCTCCCATGTCCCCAGGTGTGCCACGGACCACAACACGGACAACAGCACGCAGATGCTGCAGGAGTGGCTGGCCGCTGTGGGTGACGACTATGCCACTGTGGTCTGGAGGCCCGAGGGGGAGCCCAGGTGGTGATGGGGGGAAGGGTTCTTGGGAAGAGGGGCGGCAACCACAACCCAGAGAGGAAAAGAGACAGCCAGACAGCCAGACAGCCGCAAGCCACCACCTCCAGGCCAGGGCTCTATCTACTGCCCTGCCGCACAGGGGACCGCGTGCACCTGCCCCTGGCAAATTTCTCATCTCTTCACCCTCTCAGGTCCTATCCAGATGAAGAGGGTCCCAAGCACTGGACCAAAGAAAGGCACCAGTTTCTGATGGAATTGAAACAGGAAGCCCTGACCTTTGCCAGGGACTGGGGGGCTGACTACATCCTGGTAAGAAAGCCTGGCTAGATGGGTTTCCCACAGGTGGCAATATCTGTCCCTGACAGAAGTCTCGGTGTGACTTACCCACCTGTAGGCTGGACCCTTCTGCTAGCAACCTGAATTGGAACCCAGAGCTTGGATCCCTATGCATGAGGGCAGATTGGCTATGAAGCCAATCCCTGAGATAGACTGCAGGGTGTATACTGAGCCTAGGTTCCTGGGCTAGAGTCCGGAGTGTAAACTGAGCTTGGTTCCCCAGATAAGAACTCAGCATAGGTCTTTGGCTCTACTCCCAAAGTCAGATCTAGAATAAAAGCTCTTTGATCAGCAACTCAGGGTGAATCTCTGGCCCTGATCCCAGAGCCAGTGCTGCAGACCACCAGATCCTTGGTGCAGAAACAGACCTACTGGTTTACAGGTTAGAACTCACCGACAGGATGCCACTGGATCCCAGGAGACATTCAGGGGTCTCTGGCAATCTGGAGGGATCCCACTCAGTGATTTCTTAGGAGTACTGCCAGGCAAGGCTGGGGTCTGTGACAAGCCCTCTGGAAAGTTTGCAGATACAGACAACATTCTGACCAACAACCAGACGCTGAGGCTTCTGATAGAGCAGGGGCTGCCTGTCGTGGCCCCGATGCTGGACTCCCAGACCTACTACTCCAATTTCTGGTGTGGGATCACGCCCCAGGTAAGGCTGGGGATGGAGGCCTCGGGGTCTTTGGGCCATGGCAGCAGGGCAGTGTTCTGGGGATGGAGGGGTTCTGTCATGGTGAGAGCAACCCCTTTCTCCAGGGCTATTACCGTCGCACGGCCGACTACTTCCCCACCAAGAACCGCCAGCGCCGGGGCTGCTTCCGGGTCCCTATGGTCCATTCTACCTTCCTGGTGTCCTTGCGGGCTGAGGGGGCAGCCCAGCTCGCCTTCTACCCTCCTCATCCCAACTACACCTGGCCCTTCGACGATATCATTGTCTTCGCCTATGCCTGCCAGGCCGCTGGTAAGGACCAGCTCTCTGTGAGCACCCCTGGAGGCCTCTAGGGCTTTGCACATGCTGTTCCCTCTGTTTTGCATGCCCTTCCCCGGTCTCCAATCTTCAGTCCATCCTGTTAAACTCCTGTTAGTCTGGGTCGTAGCCTTTCTTGAGCCTGCTCCCCTGGGAGGTTAGATGTCCTTCTGGTTCCCCATCGTGGCACTTTCACATATTCCTTCATTAGGCAAATATTTATGGAGCACCCACCATGTGCCAGGCACTGGGGAGACAGTGGTGAGTAAAGTCAGGCAGTCACTGAACTGCCAGACTGGTCCCGTCTGTCCAAGGATCACACCAACCAATGTCCGATCACAGCCATGATGGAAAGGAACGCTTCTTAATTCTACATGCTCAGTGAGCTTAGACCAGAGTAGATCTGGTCAGGGAAGGCTTCCTGAAGTGTGTGAACTTTGAGGCTGAGATCTGAAGTATGGGAAAGCATTAACAAGTGCCAGAAAGAACATTTTGGGCAACAGGACAGCGGGTGCAAAGGCCCTGTGGTAGCAGGCAATGTAAGAAGGCAGGTGACAGGTGCACAGTAAGTGAGAGGAAGCATGGCAGAGGCTGAGGCAGGGAAGGTAGGCAGGGCCAGCTTATGTGGTCCTGACTAGCAAGCATCTGGTCTTTATTTTTATTTATTTGTTAAAGATTTTATTTATTTATTTGACACAGAGAGAGAGATCACAAGTAGGCAGAGAGGCAGGCAAAGAAAGAGGGGGAAGCAGGCACCCCGCCGAGCAGAGAGCCCGATGCAGGGCTTGATCCCAGGACCCTGAGACCATGACCTGAGCCGAAGGCAGAGGCCCAACCCTCTGAGCCACCCAGGCACCCCAAGCATCTGGTCTTTAGCCTAAGAACACTCATCAGAGGAGTGTGCGATTGGCTTCGCACACTGAAAAAAACACCCGGGTGTTGGCGTTATTTTTAAGGTGAAAAGTACCGCAGAGTGTTTGGGCTGGGTGGGGATAGATCCAATCCTGTGGAAGAGCCAGAGATGAGAGTGAGCCAGAGACACGCAGTGTTGGGAAAAGGATCTGGAGAGGACTGCACAGGCCAATTCAGGGAGAAGGAGAAGTGATGCTGGAACCCAGGGGCGCTGCCCCTGAGTAAGCAGTGGGCCCACGTGGCCGGGGGGGCGTGTTGTCATTGGCTTTTTCGTGCAAGAGGTGTTGGTGGAGTTGGCTGCAGACGTGTGAGGCCAAAAAAACACACACACGAAAAAAACAACATATCAGGCACAAAAGGCGAGGGAAGGGAAAACAAACCCGTGGAGAATCCATGAGGAGAAGCAAAGCGTTGCCGTGTTTTTGTCATTGCTACCACTGCGGCAGGTGTCAGCCACTGTTAACTGGTCAGCAGTTTGCAGGGGCTTTTGTCCCCATCATTCAGACTTCCAGCACCCAGCCACAGAGTCCCCGCACTGGTCCAGGCTCTGGGTGCCGCGCTGGGCCTGGGGTTGACTTTTAAGCAGATTCTGTGCGCCTGCCGCTCAAGAGTTCGCAGTTTTTAGGAGATAAAGAGAAAGAAGTAATTACAGTAAAGGCAACAAATACTGAAGAAATAGAAAAGGCCACTCTGGTTGGCAGGTGGAGGGCAGCGTGGAGAGGCGTGAGAGGGTGTGGGGTCACTCCTGAGGTCTGGGCATGAGAGGATGGGGCTGGATCCAGGTGGGGCCTTGAGTGGGTAGGGTCAATGGCCTGGCCTGAAGACTGTGGTCAGATGGGAGTTTGCTTCCTCCTCTCTCCCCATGACCCCCAGGGGCAGGGCTCTGTCCTGCTCACCCCCATCCCCCCACACCCAGCTGGTGCTGTAGACCTGTCTGTTGAATGTGTAAGCCAGCTCAGCTAGAAGAGTGCCTTAACCATTGTTTGAGTTAAGCCCTTTCTCCCTCCAACTCCACAGCAGGGGACTCGGAGTCCCAGAGAGGATGCCTGCCTTGGATCCCGAGAGCCCTGCCCCCTCCCTAGCCCTCACTTGTCCTCTCTCCACAGGGGTCACGGTCCACGTGTGCAATGAGCACCGTTATGGGTACATGAACGTGCCCGTGAAATCCCACCAGGGGCTGGAGGACGAGAAGGTCAACTTCATCCACCTAATCCTGGAAGCGCTGGGTGAGGGCTGGGAGCCGGGACGCTGGCCTGCGGCCACGGTGGCCTCCCACCCCCTTGGGCCCCTTCTCCGGGGCTCTGGACCTGACTGGGCAGTGGGCTTGGGGTCCCGGCCTCACCTCTAACTTAGTCCCTGACTCTGGGCAAGTCCTTCTCCCCGCTAAGCCTCAGTGTCCCCATCTATAAGACGGAGGCAGGTGGATCCTGTGATTTCTGAGGGCCCTTCCTCCTGGGTTCTGAGGGGGCAGGGGTAAAGGGGGGGCGCTGGGACTGCAGGGTCACTGCTGACAAGAGCCAATAGGGATTCATGTTGGGGGGTACTTTCCTCTGCAGTGGACGGTCCCCCCATGCGGGCCTCAGTGCACGTGTCCCGGCCCCCAAAGAGACCCAGCAAGATGGGGTTTGATGAGGTAAGTTCCCTCCGCCCACAGAGCTGGGGTCAAGAAGTGGGTGGGCTCTCCCCTCCCGCTACACCCACCCCTCCCGCACCCACCTTCCCTGCCTCCTCCAGGTGTTTGTCATCAGCCTGGCCCGCCGGCCCGACCGCCGGGAGCGCATGCTAAGCTCGCTCTGGGAGATGGAGATTTCTGGGCGGGTGGTGGAAGCTGTGGACGGCCGGTGAGGCTCCCCGGGGGCGGGGCCCTGGGCAGCTGGGGGAGCAGTGTGGTCCCCCGGAGCTCCCTGGGGATGGGAAGAACAGACAAATGAGCGGAATGAGCTGGCTGTCCCGGGAGGTGCTCAAACAGGGCCGGAGTAATGATTCTGCCTGAGAGTCCCAGGACAGAGGAAATGGGGCCAGGCGGCCCCCTCGGCCTATCGGAGGGAAAAGAGCACGGCTTAAGGCCTGGAATCTGGAGCCCCTAGGCTTGCGTTCCAGCTCTGCCACTTACCAGCTGGGTGACCTCCGGCAAGTCACCGGCCCCTCCCAGCCCTGCTGTGTGAATGGCACATAATTGTGCCTTCCTCGTAGCACTTCTAAGGGCTTGGTGAGGATTTAGCCAGGGCCTGACACATGGAAATATCCCAAAGGTTACGTGTCTTTATTATTATCAGGCTTAGTCTTCTCTGTCATGGACTGAGGGCCCTGACGGGTGGGGGAGGGGGTGGAGGCCAGTCCGGGGGAACCAGTGCTCACACGGCTGCACTCGCCCGCGGTGTCGGCCCCTCGTGCCCCCGCCCTTGCGACGGCAGGATGTCCATCCTCTCCTCGGCCCTGTCCCCCATGTTCATCCTGGGGAGCGTGTCCCTCAGGCTGCTGCCCGTCTCCCCGTCTTCTATTCCCGCCCTCAAGAGTCACCCTGGTCTTGGGTGGCTCTGGTTCCCCAGGTTGTCACCAATGTCTTCAGGCCACACGAAGCAGTAATAAGGACGAGACCTTTAAATTAAACTCCAGTGGGACGGCCCCCGATGGGTGCAGGCCAGGCCCCCCTCACCCCATGATTCCCGTCTCCCTCAGGACACTCAACAGCAGTATCATGAGGAGCCTCGGCGTGGACCTGCTGCCCGGCTACCAGGACCCCTACTCGGGCCGCACACTGACCAAGGGCGAGGTGGGCTGCTTCCTCAGCCACTACTCCATCTGGGAGGAGGTGAGGACGCTGTCCCCGCAGGGAGAGCTGTGGCGGGGGCACCCTGTTCACGGCTGTGTGCTCTGCACCCAGGGGAACCAATGGGTGAATGGATAAACCAAGGAAGACCTGGTCAGGCCCTTTAAACCTTCTGTGTGTTCAACCCTGTGCCGTGTCTGTTCTGTAATCTCTACGGAGCACATCCTGTGAGCCAGGAGATCTGAGAATACAGAGGGGAACAAGGAAGAGGCCCCTCTCTCCCTTTTGGGGGCTCAGGGACCAGAGTGGGGCACGGAAACCAGGGAAGAACCAAGTTTGCCATGGAGGGGAGATGTACAGACTGTCCTGGAGTGTGGATTGGCCAGAATTCCTGGCCTGGTGTGGGGTCGGGGTGGGCCTCACCATCGAGGGTCAGTGAGAAGAGCCTTCTGGGCAGAGGAAGACAGTGGGGCAAAGGCCCTGGGGCAGACAGGAGCTGTGTGTCCAGGGGATGGGAAGAAGAAAGGGCTCGGGCTTGGCCTGGAAACCTCAGCTCAGGGCTGGGAGTGGGTGAACACTGGTGAGAGGTCACTGCCTGGCCACTGCAGGAGGGACCAGGGGACTGGCCCTCCAAGGGGCATGAGTCCCCTCTAGGAGGCAGCACCCAGATCCACTCCTTATTTTTACTTTCCACTGTAGCCAAAATAGGAGCACGTGAGTTTATATTTGTTTATCTTCTATTGTTCCTTTTTGTTGTTATTGTTAAGATTTTATTTATTAATTTGACAGAAGGAGAGAGCACAGGCAGGCAGAGCGGCAGGCAGGGGGCGTGGGAGAGGGAGAAGCAGGGAGCCCAATGCAGGGCTCGATCCCAGGGCCCCAGGATCACGACCAGAGCCAAAGGCAGATGCTTAACAACTGAGCCACCCAGGCGCCCATCTTCTGCTGTCCCTGAACAGACTGAAGCATGACTTCCATTTCACCATTTACTAAACTGATTTCATGTTCTTTTCACATTTCCAGAAGTTACAAAAATACTTTTTCTTAGGGATCGTGAGGGCTTAGGTCTTCCTCCTCCCCCCAGCCAGCCCAGCTTCCTTTAGGACAGCTCAGGAGGCCGTGTGAGGAGCTGGGCCTGGAGTTTCCCTACTACAGCACAGGGACATCGTGTGTCCTGCCTCCTTAGGGTCCCTGGGATCTAGCAGCACTCAGTGAACACAGCCAAGGTTATGACTGCTATCACGAGTCTGCTTGGAGAGCTAGACTCGGGCCCTGGAGGACTTCAGTCCCCGGGCGGTGGGAGCCCCAGCAGGCTTTGGAGCAGCTGAGGGATGTGGCCAGGGCTGAGCCTTTGCCATATAACAGAGGCCAGGGAAAGTCTATCAGTGTCAGGCGGGGGAAGGGGACATCTAAAGAGCCACCCCCGTGTTGTGTGTCGTTCCCCCCACCCCACCCCATTATCGCAGGTGGCGGCCAGGGGTCTGGCCCAGGTCCTGGTGTTTGAGGACGACGTGCGTTTTGAGAGCAACTTCCGGGGGCGACTGGAGCGGCTGATGGAGGAGGTGGAGGCAGAGAAGCTGCCGTGGGACCTAATGTAGGCAGCCTATACCTGCGGGAGGGGGGTGGGGGGGCTGGGGGGCAAGGAGCGACCTCTGCGGCTCTGCCTCCTCCTGCTGGGAGCCTGGCCAGTCCTCCCCACTGAGCCTGGCCTGTGGGATGTGATTAGGGAAGGGGTCCTTGGACACCCTGGGGACCTACAGTGACTCCTGGTTCCCCTCGGGGTCACCCGCAGCTACCTGGGTCGGAAGCAGGTGAACCCCGAGGAGGAGGCCGCTGTGGAGAGGCTGCCGCATCTGGTGGTGGCGGGGTACTCCTACTGGACCCTGGCCTATGTCTTGAGCCTGGCGGGAGCTCGCAAGCTGCTGGCCTCCCAGCCCCTGTGCCGAATGCTGCCTGTGGACGAGTTCCTGCCCATCATGTTTGACCGGCACCCCAAGTGAGTCTCCGACGGGGGCCGGGCAGGGTCGGCTCATCCGGGGAGCCCACCGCGGCCAGGGCAGCCAGAGAGACTGAGGCTGGGTCACTTACTCGAGGTCACCAAGGAGTAGTCCGGCCTGGCCCTGGAGTCAGACCAACCTAGGTGTAAATTCTGGGCTGCCTGTGTGGTTCTTAGTCAAGCCCCGTCCCTGTTGTGAGCCTCAGTTTCCCCATCTGGAAAATGGGGAGACTAGTAACCCTGCTTCTTGAGTTTGTTGTGCAGTCTTGAGGGCGAGGTCTGTGAGGAGTCCGGCTCCGGGTAGGCGTGCGGTGTGGCTGGTGGGGCCCACCTCAGCCCACCTCAGCCTCCCCCCTGCCCCACAGCGAGCAGTACAAGGCGCACTTCTGGCCGCGGGACCTGCGCGCCTTCTCCGCCCGGCCGTTGCTCGCTGCCCCCACGCACTACGCAGGGGACGCTGAGTGGCTCAGCGACACGGAGACATCCTCGCCCTGGGACGATGACAGCGGCCGCATCATCAGCTGGAGCGGCTCTCACAAGACCCTGCGTGGCCCCCACCTGGACCTAGCTGGCAGCAGTGGGCACAGCCTCCCCCCACCACCCCACCCCCGGGATGAGCTCTAGGTGAGTGTGGGGCTGGGAAGAAGACCCCAGCCCCGTGTGCCTCGGTGTGCTCTCCCCTTCTAGGCTGTCTCTGGGTCTCTGTTTCCCCTTCTCAGCCTGCCTTCTCTCCTCCCTCTCTCTGGCTGTGCTCTGCCAGTCTCTGTCTGTGGCTCCCTGCATTTCTCTGTCTACCTCATGCTCTCTCTCTTTCTCTCCGCTTCTCTCTGTCTCTTGGACCTTCTCTGTGTCTTCTTTCTTTCTTTTTTAAGATTTTTTTTTTACTTATTTGAGAGAGAGAGAGAGATGAGCAGAGGAGAGGAGCAGAGGGAAAGGGAGAAGCAGGCTCCCTGCTGAGCAGAGAGCTACCGCCCACCATGTGGGACTTGATCCCAGGACCCTGAGATCATGACCTGAGCTGAAGGCACCCGTTTCACCGACTGAGCCATACAGGCGCCCTGTGTCTTTTTCTGTCTCTGCCTCTGGATATCGGGCTCTAGTTCTACTTCTCTCTTCTTGTCTCATCCGTCCCACCAGGGCTGGGCAGTGACTCCAGAGAACCACCCGGGAGCAGGCTGCCGCTGGCCAGGGAGCAGAGTTGGAAATAGCTTCAGGAGTCGCCACCAGGAGCCACAGACCCCACAGAGACCCGACTGTCACCTTAGGCATGGCCACTTTGTCTTCTGGCTCCCTCTTGCATTGGGAGAAACCACTCCAAGATGGGCCCCTTCTCTGAAGGTCATGGAGAGAAAAGGCAGGGCTCACAGGCCCTCTCACCCTGCCTGGTCTGACTCAGGGCCTGGGGTGGAGGGAAGGAGGGGGGCTCCCCAGCCTTCGGCTTCAAGCTGGACAGATGCCGGGAGCCCTGCCCTCTCTGTGGACCCAACTGCTGGGGCCCCTCCGCCACCTTCTACCTCCACCCCAGCCCCCTCCCCACTCGACACCTGGGTCTCACTTGCCTGGGCCCATCCTCTCCGCTGGCCACTGGGAAGTGCAGGGAGGTGGGAGGAGAGCCCTTGCAGGCCTGGTACCCAGCACAGAGTAGGCCCTCAATAAAAGCCAGCTGGTGTTTGCACTTTATATTTTTAACTCCTGGACCAGCCTCTTTGTGTGCCTTGAGGTCTGGGAGGGAAGGGCTCCCGATCCATGGATGGGCTGTTGGAGCGACACAGAGGGGAGGGCAGCCTGGGGGAGGAGTCAGGCTGACCTGGGATCACCATCTCCTTGCTAGGTGATCTTGGGTGGGATGCCATCCCTCCCTGGGTCCTAGTCTGCTCGGTGGTGAAGTGGACATGGAAGAGAAGCATGGCAGGGCCTGGGTGGGTATAAATGGCCAGATCCAGAGCCCAGTCCACAGTGAATACTCACACACTGAGGCCGTCCTGGGCATCACCAACCCCACCTTGCTGGGCAGGGTGGGCTCAGACCCAGGGCTGCGGAGCCTCCTCCCCTTTCACTCTTTGCTTTGTGCAGGGGCCGCCCTGCCCTGGAGAGGGATGGGGGAGATGGATCCGAGGCTCACCTCTGGCCCTAACCCGCGTGGCCACCAGAGGGCGAAAGAAAGCAGAACATGGACCTTTGTGGGCCAGGGCGCCCTCTGCTGGTGGGGGTCCCACAAGGGGAAAGGAAGCCTGGGGTATCTGGAATCCGCCTGTCGTGCTGCTGCCGGGCTACCTACAACAGCTCCAGGTTCTCCGGCTCTATTGCTTGGGAGCTGCTGGCTTTCTTCCCTCCGCATCCTCCCTCCACAGGGCCAGGCATCTGGGCCCAGCACCTGTCTCCAATGCCTGCACTCCAGCAGCTGGAGGGGGTAGGGAGGTGTCTCCTTGCCTTGGCCTCTACCAGCACAAGTCTATGGCACTGGCGTGTCTAGGTTTCCTTCTTCAGAGGAGCCTCCTCCCCTGGCAGTCCCTTGACTTGGTTGTACAAGCACCGGGGTCCTGGCAGAGTCAGGCAGGCACCCCTTGCTTCTGTCCTGGGGATGAGGTCCAGCTGGCCTGGCTTTGGTCCTGGGACCTGGCATGGCTGTGAGTAGGACTTTGGGTCAAAGCTATTGTTTGACCCAGGTGCTTTGTTAGTTCCAAGAGTGAAAGTCATCAATTCCAGATGGTGATGATCTTGAGCAAATACCTTTTCTCTCTAGGCTTCCAGTGTCCCCTTCACTCATTAAAACAACCATTTATTTTATTTATTTATTTTTAAAGATTTTATTTATTCATTTGACAGAGAGAAACAGGAAGAGAGGGAACACACAGGCAGGGGGAGTGGGAGAGGGAGCAGCAGGCTCCCCGCAGAGCAGGGAGCCTGATACGGGGCTTGATTCCAGGACCCCCGGATCATGACCCGAGCCGAAGGCAGATGCTTAATGATTAAGCCACCCAGGTGCCCCTAAAACAACCATTTATTGGGCCCATCCTATGAGCCAGGTTTAGGCATGACGGATACAGCAGTGCATACAAGTGTCCCCAAAATTCTTGACCTAGTGCTGCTGACATTCTAGAAGAGAGAGAGGCAGAAATAAGTAAGTAAATATTAGAGGGGTAGGCGCTATAGAGCAAAATGAGGGAGAAAACATCAAGTATGGTCTGAGAAGTTAACATCTGAACAAAGACTCAGACATGAGGGGGCGAGCTGTGGGGATATCTGAAGCAAGCCCATTCCAGACCAAGGGAATAGCATATGCAAAGGTCCTGAGGTAGGAGCAGGACTGGCAGGTTTAAAAGACAGCAAGGAAGCCAGTGTGGCTGGAACAGAGTAAACAAGGCCTGGAGAGCCTGGAGATGATGGAGCCAAGTTCAGGGCCACAGCAAGGAGGACCTTGGAGGACATTCTGGCTTTTACTCTGGAACAGGGGGCCCCTAGAGGGTTTGAGGCTGAAAATTGACTCTATCTAACTTATTTTAACATGATTACCCTGGCAACTGTACTAAGAATAAACTGTAGGTTGGCTCAGAAGAGAAACAAGGAGAGAAGTTAGGAACCCATTGTAATAATCCAGGTGAGACACACGGGGCTTCAGACCAGGGAGTTCGCTAGCAGTGGGGCGGTGAGAAGAGCTTCCCTCGATGGTGGCTGGTCCCTGCAAACCTCGGTGCTCCTGGAAGCCCCAGCATGGGCTCCCCAGGCAGAGAAAGCTGGTGTGAGCTGTCTCTGTCCTTTCTAGTTCTGTGACCTCAGGCAAGTGTCCTGAGCCTCCTCTAGCCTCAGTGTTCTGCTCTATAAAATGGGGTCAGCACTCGTGCCAAGCTGACTGGATGTGGTGAGGCCTGGCCGAGCTCATGCAGGTGAGCACACTGCCCGATGAAGAGGGAATGCCGCACTGATGGTTGCCGGCATCACGGCGACGCGCCAGTGACAGAGTGGATCAGGATGGGCTTGGGACGTCTGCCTGAGTCAGAAGAGAGTGGGGGGCTCTGGAAACAGATAATCTAATTTCCAATTTCCTCTCTGCCTCTTGTTTCTGCTGCTTAAGTAGGTACCTCTCCTTGTGGTAAAACCCTTCCGTTTTCTCCTCTGTAGAATGGAAGAGGCGTGATTTTGTTTTAAAGATTTTTATTTATTTATTTATTTATTTGACAGAGAGAGAGAGAGAGAGAGAGAGAGAGAGCTGTGCACAAGCAAGGGGAGCGGCAGGCAGAAGGAGAGGGAGAAGCAGGCTCTCCACTGAGCAGAGAGCCCGACTCAGGGCTCCATCTCAGGACCCCGGGATCATGACCTGAGCCGAAGGCAGACACTTAACTGACTGAACCACCGAGGCGCCCCGGTCTCAAACTTTAGAGGTCATCTGAATCCCCTGCAGAACGTGTTCAAACACAGGCTGCTGAGCCCCGTCCCTGGAGTTCCATATTCCGTAGGTCCGGGTGGGGTCCGAGATTTGCACCTCTACCATGTTCCCTGGTGGTGCTGACTGGTGCTGGGGTGTGGGGACCACACTCAGAACCATTGGTTTGGGCAACTGCATAACCAGGACTCTCAGTGAACCCGGAGTCCATCCAGTCTCAGGAGCGCAGGGCCACTGGTCAAAGGGCCTAAGAGGAGCCTAAGCCTTAGTAAGGCCTGGAATTTTCTTTCCACCAGTTCCACCTGAGAGAAAATGCCAGGCCCTCTCTGGAGCCCAGAGTCCTTCTCCCCAGGTCAGTAATGTGAGGGCTGCCTCAGGCTCCTGGGGGATGGGGCTCCAGGATGGAAATCACCGATATATGGGCCCTTGGGCAAATGGAGATGAGCCTGGGCCAGGGCTGGGTCAGGGCACTGCGGGGCATCCCTCTGCTGTTCGCTGCTCACAGGGTTGGAGCTCCTAGCTAGCTCCTCCTTCAACTGTGGGTCTTTCTAACCAACAACACAAGCCCACATTCATTGTTGAAATTTGCAAAAACAGAAGGAGGTAAATAAAACCATCAGTGTTAACATTCTGAGACCGTGTCTTCTGGTTTAAAAAGAATTTTTTTTTAAGTAGGCTCTATACCCAATGTGGGACTTGAACTCATGACCTCGAGATCAAGAGTTTTGTGTTCTACTGATTGACCAGCCACATGCCCCTAGAATTTTTTAAATTTCTTCTTTCCTTTTTTTCTTTTATACGTTTTATTATTTGTTATTTATTTTTTTTAAGATTTTATTTATTTATCTGACAGGTAGAGATCACAAGTAGGCAGAGAGGCAGGCAGAGAGAGAAGTGGAAGCAGGCTCCCTACTGAGCAGAGAGCCCGATGTGGGGCTCGATCCCAGGACCCTGAGATCATGACCTGAGCCCAAGGCAGCTGGTTAACCACCCAGGTGCCCCAGAGTGTGCAATTCTTGAGCTCAGGGTAATAAGTTCAAGCCCCACACTGGGTGTAGAGATTACTTTAAAAAAAACAACACTTAAACTTTACAGAAATTCGCAATGTACCAGTGAAAATCTCTCTCGCAATTCCATCTTCCATCAGTCCTAACAGTTCAGTATATATCCCTCCAGATTCTCTTTACCTGCTGGTAGTAACTTAGGTGGTTTTCATGCAGAAACAGAATCGTGGCTCTACTCAGTTTAACACGTCACCTTTTATTCCTCTCCGTTGTAATGTCTGGGGATCTTTCCATGCTTGAATAATCTGTCTTATCATATTTAACAGCAGTGTAGTGTTTTCTGAATATATGTAATATAATTTATCAAGCAGCTGGGATTGATTTTTCATCCTTCCACAAATATTAGTCATTTTAATTAGGTCTCAGGTTAGACAGACTGTGAGTTGAGATCTGGGATCTAGGAGATCCTCCCTGCTTCATTCTGACTATCCTCCAATGTTTCTTTTTTGTTGTTTGTTTGTTTCAGGGGTACAGGTCTGTGAATCATCAGTCTTACATAATTCACAGCACTCACCATAGCACATACCCTCCCCAGTGTCCATCACCCCGCCACCCCATCCCTCCCCACTCCTCCAGCAACCCTCAGCTTGCTTCCTGAGATTAAGTCTTTTATGGTTTTTCTCCTTCTCTGGTTTCATCTTGTTTCATTTTTCTTTTTTTTTTTTAAGGTTTTATTTATTTATTTGACAGACAGAGATCACAAGTAGGCAGAGAGGCAAACAGAGGGAGGGGGGAAGCAGGCTTCCTGCTGAGCAGAGAGCCTGATGCGGCCTCGATCCCAGGATCCTGGGATCATGACCTGAGCCGAAGGCAGAGGCTTTAATCCACTGAACCACCCAGGCGCCCCTTGTTTCATTTTTCCCTCCCTTCCCCTATGATCCTCTGTCTTGTTTCTCCTCCTTTAGTCTTTCTTTTTCTTTTTTTTTTTAGTCTTTCTTTTTCTTTTCGTTTTTCTTTTTGCCTTTAAATTTATTTATTATTATTGTTAAAATTGAAATAAGTTGACACACAAGGTTGCATTAGTTTTGGGTGTACAACATAGTGATGTGACAAGTTTATACATCATTCTGCCCACCACATGTGTAGTTACCATACAACACTGTTAAAATATCATTGACTATATTCCCTATGCTGTGACTTTTATCTCTATGATTTGCTCATTCCATAACTGGAAGCTCATATCTCCCACCCCCCTTCACCCATTTTGGCCATCCTCCCCCCCACAAGAAACAACA